CCTGAAGACATAATCTCCTCAGCCAACGCCTTAGTACATTTGTCCCACACTTCAGGGACACGCTTCAGGGACTTCAGAATATCCACCGGCTGGCCTAAACCTTAATTTTTAAAAGCCTCGCAACTGCGAGAGTAAAATCTTTTGGCTTACAAATCTTTGGCTTACAAATCTTTGGCTTACAATCAATCCCCCAATGCTTATGTAATTGCGATACGACCTTCACGAGGGCTTCCATCCTCCTTGTTGCTCTGATAGCGTCCTCTCTGCCGGGCTGGTCCACTCACTCCGGCCGCCGTTCACCCGTCCAGGCGATGACTTCCCAGGTTTCGGCACCACTTGTTGCAGTTCAAAAGGCTGCAGCGACCTGGTTCAGGGATGGCACGGTGACCACCCCCAAGCCACTCGGGCCATCAGCTAGTTGACACCAATGTGGTGGACGGCAAATGGCGTTTATTGATGGGTAACAAGGTGTTATATAGCTAGGTTTACAACGTCACATGCATCTGCTTACACCATAGACTAAACACTATTGGCTATTAGGGGCCCTATCTTTCCGTACAGCACGATATCTTCCGGCCGCCGTTCCCTAACTATCTGCAACAGGCTTCAATAAATTACTGGTTTAGTCTGCCATTTTCTGGTGGAATTTAATCTATTTTATATTAACTGAACACATCTTTACCCAGTCCCCTTGAATATCTTCTGTATATATTTCTGTTGCTTATATAGATATTTTAATAACTTAATATGTTAACATGTCCTTGCACAAATGCATGTCCGTTACTGTTTTTTTTTGTAATCAGACTTTAACTTTCCACAATAAGTTGGAAGTAAGGAGTGAAGAAACTGTGGATTTTTAGTTCTTTTTGGGAGAAATACTTTTTGTCCTTAATAGATGCAAATTTTAGCTTTGGTTAGAATCATAGAATCATAGAATCATAGAATGCTTAGGGTTGGAAGGGACCTCTAGAGATCATCTAGTCCAACCCCCCTGCATACGCAGGGACACCTAGAGCACGTGGCACAGGACTGCATCCAAGCGGGTTTTGAAGATCTCCAGAGAAGGAGACTCCACAACCTCTCTGGTTACAGGTTTCTGTTTCTTAGAATATAGTTATGCTCTAAGAAACTCTATAGTTATATATTCTCTCTCTCTCTCTCTCTCTCTCCATATGTAGAGTGTGTGTGTGTGTGTATATACTCTATATATAGTTATATAGAGAATATGTATCACCATTAGGCTGCCATGAGTATGATAGCCTGTCTATAATCAAGCATATTCTTTCTTAATATTGGCTCTTTTCAATTATTCATATATCTTTCCAAGAGACAGAAATTTTGATTAAATTTTAGATAAGGTTTCATAACTGAAGAAGGCATTTAAGAAGGTCTTTATGTCTTTTTATTATAGGGTAATTTCTCTATCCAAGTGTAACTGGGTAATAAAAAACGAAAATAATTGAATTGAACAAGGCTGGCATGAAACTAATACTTGCCTTTTTTTTTTCTTTTTTCTTTTCTCTCTCTTGCCCCCCCTCCACCTCAAAACTACACGGGGCACCCAACAATTGCCTTGCACAATTGGTGCATCTCTGGCAAAGGAGCTAATCTTCTCTGCACGTATCATAGATGGCAAGGAAGCAAAATCCATAGGGCTAATCAGCCATGCGGTAGAACAGAATGAAGCAGGGGATACTGCCTACAGGAGAGCCTTAGCTCTAGCGAGAGAATTTTTACCTCAGATATCACAAATTATTTTGCTTTGAGTTTTGAGTTGAGACCAAGCATTGAGACTGAGAAAGAACCAGCTGTGAAAAAGAAAAAAATCTCATGAAGTTTCATTTTGCAAAGTTAGCTCTCACCCTAAGTGGAAGAGTATCAGAAGTGTTCTTGCTCATGTATACGGTGGTGTTATTTGTTAAGTATTTCACAGTGAAACACACAAACTGTATCACTCGTATCATTTTGATATGGTCTGTGTTTGCATTGTGTATTTTGGCTTTCAAGTTTCAGACATAAAAATATTTATTTAGTTATTTATTTTAGTAAAGTAATTACCTTAACAGGTTAATCTGTTGCAGCTGAATGCTTCAGTGAATAGACAAGTCCATATGAAGGTGGACATATCTCAGTGTAACTGTGATTTTTGAGAACATAAGGCCAAATGTAATTTCAGAATTAAAGCAAAACTCATTTAGCATTGGAGGGCCATCTCTTTGCTTTTTCGCCTATGTGTATGTCTGATGAAAGAACGGTGCTCTTGTGTTGTTCTGAATGATGTGCTATCTCTGTCTTTCACTGCAAGAGTTGAAATGGCACGGTTTTCAGACAGCCATATGCCAATGTTCAATGTTTAGCAATTGCCTTTTTCTTCTTGCTTGCCTCCTTGCGAACTATTGTAATTGGCTCCCCACTGGGGAGGGGTATTGATTGTCCCTTCATGGCACTGAGCCAGAGGCCATGGTATCAGGAAGACAGCTGGCCGTTCTTTCTGTATCCCTGGTGGGGCTGGACACACGTGGATCTTTCCACTCCCAGATTTTTTAATATTTATTTTCTTCTTTGACCTGTGAGTATAACACAGGTTTATCATAATTCACCCAGGTAACATATAAGCAAAGGGGATTTGCTGAAATCCCATTCTTGAGAACTTAACAGTTTTAAAAAGAAATTTAAGTGTGACCCTTGCAAGAGTCTTTGTAATAACTGATTGCTACAAGTTCCTTACTCACATAGAGTACAACCTTTTTGTTCAGAATAGGAATGTGAGTTTTGACCTCTTGATAAACCTACTTTTTAGCTGAAGACTCCCAGGTGGCAAATTCATAGCAGGTAGTTCTAAAGAAAATAAATATAAACGCAGCACACTGATTTGGCTTCTTTCAAAAACTATATGCTTCTCAATATTGAAAATACCTATTTGGAAGTAAATGCCTGCAATAGTCATATAATTTAGTATGTTTGACCTATTTGCTACCTATTTAATAAAAGTACAAAGAGGGCCCCAATACAACAGCATTGATGTGCAGACTCTTCACAGAATAATCTTGTAAAATTTGATGACATGCAAACCAGCTTTTTGTTTCATTTTAGGGACCACTAGCAATGAGAGTTGCAAAATTGGCCATCAATCAGGGAATGGAGGTAAAGATCTATACTTCTCATAATAATTAGCAGAAGTCAGGATGGCAACAGGTTTTCTGTAGTGATGTTTTTTTTTTCCTAGAATTACTTTTAGTTTCTCCATGTATAGTCTTTCAAAATCTATTTGCCCTCCCCTTTTTTTTTTAGATTAAATGCATTTTTTTATGTCTGCGTTTATTGATTTCAGGCTCTTGAAAGTAGAGCTGATGCAGTTTAGGCATTTCCATAACAAGACTTAGTAACCTCACAACTCTTAGGGAGCAATACACTCTGTTAATTCACACTAGTAAGTAAACCTAAATCACTATAAATAAGTTGTACTTCAAATGCTGGGAAGAAAAAAATCCCCAAAGTGATACTCAGCAGTCTGTCCAGGCTATCAGTATTGTTTTAATAACTAGTAGTTAAAGACCAAAAGGCATGTTATGGCTTTTTAATAATTTAATACAGGATAGTGTTAACATTATGTCAGGAATCTAATTTCAGATGTTGGATTGCCACTCCTTGAACACTATTGACCCAACTCTAAAGCTCATTAAGACCCAGCCCTGAACGCATCATGGCCTTTAGGCTTGTGAATCATCTTGCTGAGCTCAGCGGGACTATTCATATTTAAAGTTGAGCAGAAGCATAAGTTCTTTCACCAGGGCAGCTTATAGATCAATCTGTGATGAGGAAAAGGGGATCTTGTCACATGCAAAAACTGAACCCAGCATGTGCCATTTAAGTTTGGTCTTTTAAGTCTCATAAGCAACCATTGATATAATTGAATTCAGCAGAGCACACTAACAATGACTTTTGCCCTGAGGACTAAACTCGGATGCTGTTGTGAGAAGAGTGTGTTTGTTAAGGTTAAACAACAAGTGATGATGGAATTCAAGATCTGTTTCAATGGTACCCAAGATTCAAAAGGCTGCAAGCTAAATTGTCTAACTATCAGGCATAATGAACCAGAGCGTCAGTTTGCAGGACTAGAGAAAATAGGGTTGGAAGGACTCTGAATGCTTGTCTAGTGTAATGCTGACTCCCCAAGACAAGATCGCCTGTATCAAAAACAGTCAAGCCAATTGTTCAGCCTATTTGTGGCAGGTTCTTGTGACTGTGTCAGCCCCTGCTTCTCTCCCCTTGGCCAACCACTTGTAGCATGTAGCCACAGTCTTTGCAGTGGCCTTTTGGAAAGTTGCTAAGTCCTGCAACATCTGGCACTTAGGAAAGGCAGAGAAGCAGTGAGGACCATCTCACAAGCAAAATTATCAAATCTATGTGATGGTGCAAGATTACCACTGGCTTTGCTTTTTTTGTTGTTATATATATATATATATATATATATATATATATATATATACACACACACACACATAAAAACTTGAATTTGTGTTTATTTTTTAACAATGGCACCAATTTTTTATATGAAGATCTGAAGATCCTTGTTTCAGAAACATTTTTTAAATAATCATGCAGTGCACTTGATCTTTTTCTCTGTCATAATTGAAATGGCTGCAAATATGCAGCTAGCTAATGGTTTTTGGTCCAGATGATTTGAAGTGAAAAGCATGCACTCTTTTAATAGTGTTACAATATTACAGAATAAGGAAACTCTTAGAGAAATCACTAACCGCTCTCACCACATGGCAGTGAAGTATTTCTATGTTAGTGTAGAAGGAATTTGCAGAAGTGTTCCACTATTTGGCAAATAGCAGCACAGTATTTAAGTTTACTATCAGGAAATAGAACGTATACTAAATGTGCAAAAATGTACTTTTAAAAGTATTTTATTCCTTTTCCTCAGGTGGGCTTAGTAACAGGTTTAGCACTTGAAGAAGCTTGCTATGCTCAGGTATGTAATACAGCAATGCCCACAAAATAGGGTTTGTTGGAGCCTGTTGTGAAACATAGGCAGAAATACAAATTGCTCTGTAATTTCTTCTTCAAATATTTTAGTGTTTTATTCAGACCTTAGTCCTTCTACTTTGTTTTTATAAGAAATTTAAGGAAGGAGATGTAGTTTAGGGTAAAAACATCCTCTTTTCAAGACTGTTCAGAAAAAGGGAATGAAATGCAGTCAGCCTAATACCTAGCCAATCATGCATTGTCATATGTCTAGCCCAAAAACTGCCTTATGTTTGCTTTACTTTGGTTTAATATGAAACGACGTGAAGGATGTTTCACTAATATATGCCACTAATGGCATGTGTGCTAACCATGAGAAAATCAAGACAAATCTCGTTGCCAAGAAAATGTGCGAATAAAATTTGTATGTTCATGCACATTCAGACAAATTTTTGATCTTGGAAAAAGCAGCATCAGCATTGGAGATATAGTCATTTAAAGCATATGGCAATCTGATTAATAACCTAAAAATAAAACAAACAGACGAACTGCCAAGCCCTAGGGATGTTCTCATTGTCATCTCAGAAGAAAGTTACACCTTCTCCCAAACTGTTTCTCATTTTTATGTTATCCCTTCAAAGGGTCTGGTATGTCCAAATTTCTAAATATACATTGACATTTTCATTTTATTATTTTTTATTATTTTATTTATATTTTTTATATTTTTTATATTTTTATATTTTATATTATTTTATTTATTATTTTATTATTTTAAATATAGATTGTATGATGCATGTTGGATGCATTTAAGAACTAGGGTTTGTAGGAAAATATTTTTGGAGTATTATTTTTGCTGTCAATAATAAAATGTTGCTTTGCTTTTTGTAGACTATTCCAACAAAAGATAGAATTGAAGGTTGTCTTGCATTTAAGAAGAGATCACCTTGCTACAAGGGAGAATAGAAGAAGCTGATGCCTTTAAAATACAATGGGGTAAACATACTGCTAGGAGGACCACTAAGGTGCACTTTGCATCAGCACCTGGAATATCACAGCCACCAAAGTAAAAGCAAATCATACTGGTGTTGCAACATTTTGAATGTATCCATACTTGTACAGGGCCCCAATAGATGTGTGTGTGTTTGTGTGTGTGTCAAAAAAAAATGAATTGTACCAAATATGCATTATAAATGATTCTGTATATCAGCAAAAATTATATTTGAATATTGCATCTCAATATGTACCTTATTAATAAAGTTAAATGAAATGAAAAGGATGGCTGTTTGGAAAATGTTATGCTTCATTTATCTGACATGCTACTATAAGCAAAATTAAATTAACTGTGAGAATAGCACTCAATGGTGTCCTTTTGATGAAGTCATTGCCATTATATTCATTTAATTGTATTACATTAAGAAATCTTCTAGGCCAGCCTTTAATTATACATTCCTGTAAGTTAAACTCAACTTTGCATTACATCCTTGTAACAAATCATCCGAACAATGCTGTCTGCTATGAGGGAGCTTAATTTTAAATTTTTGATGCATTTCAAGATTTCTCAGTGCAGGGTTGCTACTAATACACTGTTAAAGCCAGAATTCTCTTCAGCCCCAAAATGCTGGTTTTATGGGTTCTAATACTGCACATTTGTGTACAACAGGGCTAAAACTGAAGGGCTTTTTATTTGGTGGAGGCCTCAGGGTTCTTTTCCTACTTGGAATGTGAAATCCAGTAGGTTATGATGTGAGAAAAATATTTTCCTTCATACTGTATATTTGTTATGGTCATGGCGTATACAGCTAATACCTGGAAATGGCCTCTTAGAAAGTATTTTTGCTAATCTCACTAGAAAATAAACATGACTTAGCAGTTGGAGGTTATTTTTTATATGGAAACAAATTCTTTCATATTTGGTTACCATTGTCTAATGAAACTCATGCACGCTCTGCTGTTTCTGCACCATTAACTATGGTCCCTGTCCATATCTGTGGCGATCAAGCAGGTGATCAACATGAAATGACAAGAAGTCATTTAAATTCATATTTAGAAGTATTTTTACATGTAAATTGATTATAAGTGGTAGAGCACGCACTTACTTGGTAAACTTGCTGAGTCAATCATTTCATGCATGATAATTTACAAATAAAGTACTGGTGCTTGTTTTGATGGTCGTAAAAAGCCTAGAGAGTCATTTTCTCCTATTTTTCAAATTCTAGCATGTCATTTTTATTTTTACTGAGTAGGAAATAATTGTGCTAATGGGAGAAAAAATATTAAGTCTATGCTGACTGGTTTGTGTTTCATAACTTTGATATACAGTCTGGCTTTTGAGCTGCTTCTGGTTTTCTAACAAGTGTTGATCAAGTAACTTTGGGGAATGTCCATTAAAAAAATTCAAATGTCATTAAATGCTATGGCATAAAACTGTGTGGTTCAACATCCTGTGTAGATTCTTGCCTTTAACTAGTTTTAATCTCAAAAGATAATATTGCTGTCATAGTGCTCTCTCCATTCCTTTTTCTCAGGAGAAGACATTGTCACATTGTGGCAATATTGAGTACCTTATTTGAAGTCATCAGTCTGAATGTCATTACAAAGTGCGTACCAAGTGGGCAATCTTTAAAGGTACTTATTAATGATATTGGAACAATTGCATAGGAAAATAATTGCAAACAGATAAACCAAAAAGAGAGATGCATTTAGCTAAAAGGTAATGAAATTCCTCTTGTTTATTTAGAGGGATCACAAAGGCTACTTTTTCTGTGCATGTCTATTTTTCTGTGGTTTTTTTTTGTTTGTTTTTGTCACAAAGATGATTAAGGGACTGGAGCATCTCTCTTATGAGGAAATACTAAGCGAGCTGGGCCTCTTTAGTCTGGAGAAAAGAAGGCTGAGAGGAGATTTGATTAACATGTTCAAGTACCGGAGGGGTGATTGTAGGGAGGATGGGGCCAGGCTCTTTTCCGTGGTGGCCAGTGACAGGATGAGGGGTAAGGGGTGTAAGCTGAAACATAGGAAGTTCCATCTCTGTGTAAGGAAGAACTTTACTGTGAGGGTGACAGAGCCCTGGAACAGGCTGCCCAGAGAGGTTGTGGAGTCTCCTTCTCTGCAGATTCTCAGGAAGGGAAAGGGATATCCCAGCAATTCAGGGAGGAGATGGTGTAGGAGCAGCAGTGGCATAGCTACTCTATCAGAATGTTTCCCTGCACTAAAGCAATCACACAAATCTGGTTATTCCAGCTCCACAGCCTCATTCTGTCAACAGGAATGCATAGAGTAACTGTATGAGCCAGAATTTGTATCCTTTTGTGTGTGCATGTATGCATAATATATAAAACGCATGTCCATGTCCACTCTGCTTGCAGCACATAGTCTTCAGATTGTTAATGGAAGCTTTTTTTTCCATTGTTAAAATAGCTCATTAAAACCATGTCTCTGCAGATATGTGTGTTCAAAATTACAAAACCATTTTGTCCTATACATGCTTTCATAGTTCGTATAATTACAGCATATTTATCTGAAGTATTTTGCAAGTATACTTTTGTGTAATACTGGTAGGAGATTAAGTAATAGCTTAGTGGAGTTATTGCTCAAAAGCAATATATGTTACTGTGATGTACTGAGATTTGAGGTACCAAACACGCTTTTAGCTGCTTTGTTCCTTTGACCTTCATGCTCTTTGGAATAATAAAGCAGTCCTATAACGATGCTTATGTTTTCCTTTACACAAATGCCAGTAACCATTTGAACAGGGCAGTTTCGATGGGCAGTGCCTATGATGGACAACGGTAATGTGTCTGAGCCAAGTTGGCCATCTTTACACTTCCCAGTGCCAAAACCTTCAAAGCTTCTTACTTTTAGAACTCTAAAGCAATACAAGTTTGTGTTTCTTCATATCATCAAACTTAATTATTGGCAATAAGAAACTGCTGGCAGGAGCAGCACATCACATGACTCCATTTCTGCTCTAGAAAAGGTCAGCATATGGCACAAACACTTTGCTGTATTATGCAGCCTTGTACTCTGATCACATAACACATGCTTCAGAAAGCATTATGCAATGTTATACTCACTGATTAATGACTGCTTGCACAAGAAGTTTTTCATTACCCTGAATGCTAGCATCCTGGGAATGATTAAGTTTGTGACATAACTCTTGTCATATAAAAATGGAAGATTCAAATATAGCTTCAAAATAACATGTTTCAGAAATAACTGGATGTTTTCCTGCATAGTACTGTGTACAGTACATGGTTAACAGCTGCTTTAAACCTTCAGAATGAAATAGCAAAGCCTATTTGGGAGAAATGCAAACAAAATTTATTTTTAGAAGTTAAAGTTTCACTCAAGATGGATTTTTGCACACAGAAGCATCTCATTTGCAGTATTTTTTCCTCTGCTTGTGTAAATTTGAATTTCCTGAGGAAAATCTGTGCCAGTTCTTTTCAATGTTCAGCCAGTGAGTTGAGAAAGTTAAATCTAGACTTTCTTTAGACCAGCAAGTGCGTGTGTGTGTGTGTAGTGCACAGTTGTGTGCCTGAAGCAGCTTATTTATAGCAGAATAAGTTCACAGTAATTGCTCTAATTGCTTTTTTTTCCCCCTTATTTTTACTTTATTCTTTTTTTTTCCCTCTCTCAAAGCAGAATAACAAAGCAAAATGTAGTTCTGAATGAAGCAACTTGCTAACTTAGGGCTGAACATAATCACATGATCACATATTCACATTTAACATATTCTTTTATTATTGATTGATCATGTTCAAATTTTGCATATTCTTATGTTGAAAAGCATGATTAGAGAGCTTCACAGATGTGTACTTTAGGAAGTATATAACAGGAAAAAGAATGTAAAAATAAATGCTCTTTGCCATATTCTTGTATATATGAAGATTCATCCTTTTTTATGTAATGTAAGTTCCTACTAGTTATCTAGGTTTGTTTAGCTTTGTTAGGAGAAAGTTCATCTGCTTATATGAAAGTTCAGCCCACAGTATCAGTTTTCACAAGGAAATAACCATACTAAACTACTTCTATTTATTTGTTTGCATTTAAGTGCTAGAGTGATAAAAAAAAAAAACATCTCCTTTGAATGAATCTCATTCATATAAATCATCCTTACTCTCACAAACAGTCACATTAAATAAAGCCATGTTAAGTAAAGGCTTTATAATGGGAGGGATGGTTTAGGAAAGTTACCATACTACGTCGTGTTCTAGTCCTTAAAAAATAATATTAGCTGAAAACAAATATAGAGCGTAAACATTGACTTTTGGTATGTTCCCTTTAATTTTTGCCTTTTCCTGCATTCCAACTCCTACAAGCAGTAGCAAAGGTTAAAGGAAATAGGCTCTAAGCATTAGCTACCAGCGTGCCCTCATTATAGCTGAGCGTTCTTATTCTCCTTAGCCTATATGCAGAGCCAGCTAGTCTTTCAGCTGTGATGCTGAAATGCCATACATTTCTTCCTGGAATAGTATGCAGATAAGAGGCCACGTGTTATGCTGAGGTTTCAGATGAACTCCACTAAGGATTTCAAAACACTCCACCACAATTTTATCAGGTTTCTTTAGCAACCCATTAATTTCAGATACTTTCAAGATAAAAAGGGAAGAGATATTAGTTTATTTTTCCCTTGAGGTTTCACTGTTTAAACCCTTACAGTATATGACTGGATAACTTATAGATGGCTTGACTTTATTAATTTTAAATAAAATTAGCAGATCAAATGGGATCTGTTCATCTATTGAAACTCGTATTTATAATGCAGTACATGCTGATGGCTAACTGCTGTAGTCACGGCCACGTGGTCCACAGTGATTTTGAGATAAATTTGGGGGTTACACAAAGTCAGCCACTGTCTCTGCTGGAATGAAGCAAAAAGGAAAGTGGAAGGAGAAACACTTTTTCATGCTGATACTATTTATTTCATTCATGTTGCCTTAACTTAATGATGACCTTAAGGG